GTGCAGCAGGGCTTAAACCTCTCTTACTAGAATACGTGTGGTGCAGTAGGGCTTAAACCTCTCTTACCTAGAATACGTGTGGTGCAGCAGGGCTTAAACCTCTCTACCTAGAATACGTGTGTTGCAGTAGGGCTTAAACCTCTCTTACCTAGAATACGTGTGGTGCTGTAGGGCTTAAACCTCTCTTACCTAGAATGCGTGTGGTGCAGCAGGGCTTAAACCTCTCTTACCTAGAATACGTGTGGTGCAGTAGGGCTTAAACCTCTCTTACCTAGAATACGTGTGGTGCAGCAGGGCTTAAACCTCTCTTACCTAGAATACGTGTGTTGCAGTAGGGCTTAAACCTCTCATACCTAGAATACGTGTGGTGCAGTAGGGTTTAAACCTCTCTTACCTGGAATGCGTGTGGTGCAGTAGGGTTTAAACCTCTCTTACCTAGAATACGTGTGGTGCAGCAGGGCTTAAACCTCTCTTACCTAGAATACGTGTGGTGCAGTAGGGCTTAAACCTCTCTCACCTAGAATGCGTGTGGTGCAGTAGGGTTTAAACCTCTCTTTAATACTTAGAATATGTATGGTGCAGTAGGGCTTAAACCTCTCTTACCTAGAATGCGTGTGGTGCAGTAGGGTTTAAACCTCTCTTTAATACTTAGAATATGTGTGGTGCATTAGCATTTAAACCTCTCTTACCTAGAATACGTGTGGTGCAGTAGGGTTTAAACCTCTCTTACCTAGAATGCGTGTGGTGCAGTAGGGTTTAAACCTCTCTTACCTAGAATACGTGTGGTGCAGTAGGGTTTAAACCTCTCTTACCTAGAATACGTGTGGTGCAGTAGGGTTTAAACCTCTCTTACCTAGAATGCGTGTGGTGCAGTAGGGTTTAAACCTCTCTTTAATACTTAGAATATGTGTGGTGCAGTAGCGTTTAAACCTCTCTTACCAAGAATACGTGTGGTGCAGTAGGGTTTAAACCTCTCTTACCTAGAATGCGTGTGGTGCAGTAGGGTTTAAACCTCTCTTTAATACTTAGAATATGTGTGGTGCAGTAGGGCTTAAACCTCTCTTACCTAGAATACGTGTGGTGCAGTAGGGTTTGAACCTCTCTTACCTAGAATGCGTGTGCTGCAGTAGGGTTTAAACCTCTCTTACCTGGAATTGGTGTGGTGCAGAAGGGCTTAAACCTCTCTTACCTAGAATGCGTGCGGCGCAGCAGGGTTTAAACCTCTCTTACCTAGAATGCGTGTGGTGCAGTAGGGTTTAAACCTCTCTTTAATACTTAGAATATGTGTGGTGCAGTAGGGCTTAAACCTCTCTTACCTAGAATACGTGTGGTGCAGCAGGGCTTAAACCTCTCTTACCTAGAATACGTGTGGTGCAGCAGGGCTTAAACCTCTCTTACCTAGAATGCGTGTGGTGCAGTAGGGTTTAAACCTCTCTTTAATACTTAGAATATGTGTGGTGCAGTAGGGCTTAAACCTCTCTTACCTAGAATACGTGTGGTGCAGCAGGGCTTAAACCTCTCTTACCTAGAATGCGTGTGGTGCAGTAGGGTTTGAACCTCTCTTACCTAGAATGCGTGTGGTGCAGTAGGGTTTAAACCTCTCTTTAATACTTAGAATATGTGTGGTGCAGCAGGGCTTAACCCTTTCTTACCTGGAATGCGTGGCGCAGCAGGGCTTAAACCCCTCTTACCTAAAATGTGTGTGGTACAGCAGGGCTTAAACCTCTTTTACCTAGAATGCATGTGGTGCAGCAGGGCTTAAACCTCTCTGTACTAGTGTGCAAAGCCATAATCTTGATCATGACATTTTATAGTGCTGCGAATACTGACATGGTTTGTTCTGTTCTATTAAACTCTATTCACATTTTAGATCACAGAAAAGCTCTCAGTTGAGAGCAGTTGATTTTATCCCTGGGAACAGAGATCATGAAGCTATATTGAAACAGATGGGTATCCGAATGGTTACAATGCGAGATGGTAGAGTACAGTTACTACACACAGCATCACAGGTCAGAACATCTCCTCAAATATTGCTGTAGATTCTTAATATATTTGTTGAGTAGTGTTGCTAATGTGTAGATTTTATAATTCTCAGGCTTCAACTCCAGAAGATGCAGAGGAAGGAATGTTATTTATGCAAGACATGATTGAACTCTCTAAGATACAGTCACAAGAAGGTATGCAAATGTTCCTACCGGTATAGGTTTTATGTCAACCTTTTCACCACCAGACTTTCGCCCAAATTTTCCAGAATTTTTTTTTTATATTCTTCAATATTTCTGGAAATGAACCCTAATTTTGGTACCAACAGACAAAATTTGAGTCAATTTTCATTTTTTACTCAAAAAAATTTGGCCATTTATTCCAAATCTTGCGAAAGAAAGTGCAGGACCATTTGTGATGAAAAGAACAAACTTGTCGTGAAAGGGTTAAAAAGATTTTGTGGCTTCTGTCATGTATTTCATCATAATTAGGGAACTTCCAGATGTTTCAAAAAATATGGTTTCTAGTTGTGTTTTCTTCCTGTGAATGACTTCAACTTTTTTTGTTAATTGTTGATTTGCATGTATGTCTTTCAGAATATCAACCGAGAGCCATTCAGTTTATCTCCAATCCATACAATGGTAATATAGTCCTAACTGCGGGTCCTGCTCAGTTTGGTCTCGAGTTACATGGACATTTTGGGGTAAGCCTACAAAGCATAAAAATATGTACACCTGTATACTCAATATTTTGCCATTGTTTTGTTGGCATATATGTAATCTTTATTGTGAACACACAATGGGAGTCTTTGTGGTTACCCTGTCAGTGTGTATGAATATGTCTCGTATTCTGTTACATCAAGAATCAATCATCACATTTCAATGAAACTTGGTACACAGGTGCTCTGTGACAGACCTAGTTTGTTTGGAGTTAAAATCTATGCATATTAATTATAGTATTTGCTTAATATTTAGTCAGTTTTTTCCCACCAATGTCTCTAGACTAAGCATCACATTTCATTAATACTTTATACAAAGATGCTCTAAGACAATGAAAAGACCTTTTTAGTTTGGAATAAATCTGTGCATATTTAATAACCTAATTTGCATAATGATTATAATGCCTAATACTCTCAGCACACAGTGCTTTACATGTAGTTTTGTCAGTAATTTATCAAGTCAACAAGTCTTTACTTTTATAACTTATAAAATGGTTAATGTTCAATGATGTTAATGTTAATGTTCTTCTGCAGGTATGTGGTCAAGTAGTTGTGGCAGACCCTATCCGGGGGTGCGGACAACTAAAGAATGACAACGTAGTTGGGAAAATAGTGATTTTAGAGAGAGGTGATTGCATGTTTATTGATAAGGTAATATTAATGACTAGATTAAATGAATGTGTCTATTGTATAGATAGTATAGATCACGTAATACCGATTAATAGTTGCTATCTTGTGTTTTGTGTACTGTAACCAACCCAGTGTTGTCAAAGTATAAACTTATCAGGGGTATAATTTGTCTTACCCTGGAAGGATGCGGTGCTTTGTTTCTCTCTTACTGTAAAATACTACATTTTTGCTTGGAATTTGATTTCACAGAAGGCCGAGGAGGGGGGAATCAGTGAAAATAAAATCTAGTGAATATACTGTTTTTCTGTATTTTACATTCAACTCACGAAAATCAGTGAAAATAAATTCCATACAAAAAGCCTTTTCAGCAAAAATTAATTCCAGCTAAAATAAAGTATTTTAGAGTATCTAGAATAGGTGTGGTGCAGCCGAGCTTAACCCTCTCTTACCTAGAATTTGTGTGGTTTAGATGAGCTTAACCCTCTCTTACCTAGAATGGGGGTGTGGTTTAGATGAGCTTAAACCTCTCTTACCTAGAATGGGTGTGGTGCAGCCAAGCTTAACCTC